AATACACAAAAACTACTGGTGGTTTGCAAATTTTGTACCCACAGAGTATCAGTACTCTTGTCACAAAAAATATATATCAGTACTCTGATTTAAACTCTTCTCACTAATAAAATTTTCAATGCAGGACCCCCCCCCAATTTCACTTTTAAATATTGCATCAGTTAAATTCTAAAAAATGCTTTAAATGTGTAAGTAATATTTTCTGGCATGCATGCTTACATAATAGTTCTTAATGAATCCCTTATAGTATGGAGGTGTATGTCTCTTTTATGTCCAAATAAGATTATTTCGTTTTCCTAGCTTTATATTCAAAAGATATGCTAGTCATTTAAACTGTGAGCAACATGAATTTAATTTGCTAATGAATCTATAAAAACTGGAGGGTTTCAAATACAGTATTTCAAAATTAAAGACTGTCTTATTCAACTATAATTATATATATGGACACTTCAACAACTATTAATTTCAAACGTACGTATATAGAGAATTCTCAAGCGCCATTGCTGCTTAATTAATTAACCTTCAACATCAACATGATGAACCTATCATATTACGTTCTTTGCATTGTTCCTCCTAATAAGCCTAGCCATTTTTCTTCACTCAAGGAGACAGCCAAGAAAATCATATTTAGTGATGATTTTTATTGTCATTACAGAAAATTAATTTTCAGTGACGACTTTTTAGAGTCCCTTAAAATTTTTTTTTTTCCTGTAGTGGGTGAACAAAGCCAAAAGCCAGTCTTAAAGATTTTAGAAAATTTTGGTTTGAGACTTAGGAGGCCGAGATCCCACCTAAATTTGTCTTTGGTTGAGGCGAGGAAGGAGACAGAGACTTTACTGTTTCTACCAAACTCCTATGAATAAATTTGAATATTTCACTATCGATTTCTTGCACACTTTTGTCATAGAATTTGAGATTTTTTTTTTTGCCATATAAACTTTGAGAATTTTGACTCCTTTAATGGCAATCTTTTGATGAAAAGTATTCGATATCACTAATGCGAGAGATCACCATAATATAGTAACAAGATGCATGATCTGTATTAACGCGTTGCTTAAAAAGCAGATGATATATGAGCAATGTCTTGATTGTGGGTATCATAATCCTATGAATAAATTTGAAAAATTCATTACCAATCCTTTGCATTTGTTTTTTTTTTTTGACAAAGCACATAATTCTTTTATTAAAGACAATTATATTGATATACTGTTAGATACTAAATATGAGGATTACTCTTGCATTTGTTTTATTGATAAGGATCTCGAGTAGAATAGTGAAGGCAAGAAAGTAATTAGGTTTGTTTCATACACAAAGTATTGAAAATCAAACTCCTCCTTTGTTTTTCATTTTTTGTAGGGATCATCTGATCTCTCCTCCTTCTCGTTCTTGAAGGTGCATTGCGCAGTCAAACTCAATTCTACTTGGGATTGATTTTAGCAAAGGACTTTAAGAAGGTTAAAAGACTCAATAAATTAAAAAAGGAAAAAAAATTTAAGGAAAACTATAGAGATGTCCAAATTAGTTCTCCCATTCTGTTATTTGTAATTCCTTTACGTTTTGATATAAATCCATCAAGTCACTTTTTTTGTACGAAGAAAAAGAACAAGAAAAAGAAAAAGAAAAGGAAACTAAATATGCCAAATCAAGTCTGAATATGATATACAGTGTGGGATTAAATTTGGAATGATATACTAACAAGCTATTGGTTCCCGTAAGGAGAAGACAAGTTTGAATCTTGAAAAGCTTATTTGTTAAGAGGGTTTTAATTTTAACACTTTTGGCTCGATAGAGATTAATCTGAAGCTCAAAGTAATTTGAGGATATTCTGATCAGTTATAAAAAAAAAAAAAAAGAGGAATGAATGAAAAGGTGCAGTAGCAAAATGTTCAGCTGTGCAATACAAGAATATCAATATGTTTATATTTCCTTATCCAATATATACTATCAAGACACTAGCTTTTAATTTTCCTCACATATTTTGTTATATATTTAAGTTTTAATTTAAATACGTATTAAATTATTTTAATAAGATATATAGATCAAAGGGCAAGGGGTAATTTTCCATTAAATAAGATGTCATTACCTATTAAAAACTATAACGAATAAATGACATTATCTTTTTCGAAAAAACAATAACCACACATGAAAGGATATGTTTAGGGTGGCAATTCATGTGTTACAAAATGTGAGTTTAAACGTTATTTTTATGGTCAATAGGTCATTTAAAATGTGAGCAATGTGAATTTAAAAAGAACAAATATTGACAAATACCATAAAGGATGACCTGTGTTCTTATTTGGGAAAAATTGGTCGGACAAAAATGCCCTCCCTCTTTGCTTCACTTTTGCTCCTTATAACCTATATTGTGGAAGCTACAATTTTTATAAGTAATCTTTTAATTAGAATTCTTGTTAACATCCGCACTTATAATTCATTTTACAAAATATATGAATCAATTTATTTTCCAGTAGGGACCTTAATATAAATATTGTTGAAAGATGATATAATTTTAAGGGAAAATTAGAGAGAAGGAATAAGAAAAAGTTATATTTATTACAAAGGATCTTAAAAATTATAATTATTTAGAAGGACCATAAATAAAATAAATAAATATGCAAACACCAAATTGCCTCTGATTAAATCACTTACATTTTTACTAATCATGCCTTAAATATTTGACAGTTACCATTAATATCGACACTTTTTTTATTTATTGGAAACAAAATGCACTCAAAACTTTTAATCAAAAATAAAATTTTCTTCACCTACTAAGATGAGGACAAATTATTCATCTCCACTTTTTCCTCACCCCTGTTCGTCCTATTAAATATATTATAATAAAAATTTATATATTTAATTACTTTTAAAAATTACATCAACTAATTTCCAAAAAAAATAGTTAGATATAGTAAATGAGCGAAAATATTGATAAAAATATATAAACAGAAAAATAAATATAAATTTTGTAAAATAATTAATAATTAATTATTTTTATTATTTTAATCAAAATCAAAATAAAAATTATTTTTTATAACATATTTCAACATGCATAAAATTTTATAAAAATTTTAAATTAATGTAATATAATTTCTTTTGGAACACTTGCTCTAATTTAATGTTATATAAAAAATAAAATTAGCTTCGTATATAAAAATTTAGCTTTTTGTAAAAATAAATTAGGACACAGATTATTAAATTTTAATGATCAAATTTAAGTGACCACTATTATATATAATTATATTGTAAAATTTTTATAATGCGTAGATTGAATAAAAAAGAATAAAAATTGACGATAATAGATTGCTCTCCTATTTTTTAGTTACTAATTGTCAAGTAATTGAGATGTGGTTGGAGGGAGTATAAGGAAGTTTATTAGGGGTATAGTTTAGTATTAGTATATTTAGATTTTAGTTTTTGGTCTTTCTAAGTAATTAGGACTTTTAAGATCCTTTGCAGTAAATATTATTCCTTTTAGGTCCTCTATTCTAACTTTCCCTAATTTTAACTCATAATTGACTTATTTTTCTGATTTATATAAAGTAATTGAAAATAACTTATAAATAGGATATAGGGTGAGTACCGATTTGGTTCCATGGTTGACAAATGCCTTTTTCCAACTAATATGGACACTTCAACAACCATTAAATAATACTACATAGGATTATAGTATCACACTGTAGAATTTGTCATATCAAATGATTTGTTTGTGTGAGTAAGCGTGACTTTCTTTGTAATAATGTGCTTCATCGTTCGTTAGTTTCTTCGTTTTATCCGTTTTCAACGACAAATATATAACTTCAGGCCAGAGCGATGCAATCGTCAAATGTTATCATTTAGGAAATGTGCAATATTAATTATGTACTCCTCTGGTCTGTAATATAAGATCTAATTGTTGAGTTGGTTTTGGTTCTAAATATAAGACTCATTTATCATATTTATCAATTTTCTTTAAATTACCCTTATGGATACTCTTTCAACCATAATTAAGTAGATAAGAAAGAGGGAGTATTAAGAAAGATGATTATGGTATTTTAAGAAAAATCTGTCACATTTCTTATAATTAACTAGTTTACCTAAATTTCTTGATCTGATCAAATTAGTTAAATGGGTCTTATATTAAGGACCGGAGGAGTATTATATTTTTAACATAATTAATCCATGTGTGAATTAATGATTACCTTACGAAAATGCAAAATAAAACATCAAAATCTACATTTCAACAATATTTAATTCTTTATAAGTTGAAATGAATTAATGTGCATACGAGGACGGACCGAAGTTGATTCTGCACTACTTACGGGGTAGCCTATTCACTGAAACCATCAAAATGAAGAGGAAGCCTATTGATTGTTTATATTGAAAAGAAGATCGTGAATACTTTTTTAAATTAAAAACATGCAGAAATTCCATTAATCAATTAAGCATCACATATTATGATGATGATGTTGGGGAAAAAAAAAAAGTAAGATTCCCATTACTATTACATATATGGGCAGTAAAACAATTATATTGTATCTATTTTGATGTTGTTATATTTTTTTTTTCCGTTTTCTTGTTATCAATTATCAAATTTTATTAATTTTATTAAATTTTTGTTCTTATATAGGAAACTATTTAATTAAAATTATAATTTTTTGTAATTATTAATGTGTATGTGCACATATATATCTTCTAATTATACATTAAATTTACTAAAGACGGGGCAATACATTTTAACAAATATTTAACCATAGTTATATGATTTATATATAAACATATTCGGTTACATTTTAATCAATAATTTATAAATAATGAAAAATACAAATCACCCCAAAACTTGTACAAAACATGATCTCATAATCTAGTTCAACAACCTAGTCTACAAAAAATAAACCGTAGTTTCTCCTAGGTATAACCAAAAAAATAATATGATTTTCATCTAACTTTTCTCTATATATAAGCTCAAAAAATGGAGAATTCTCAACTGCCATCACTGCGCTTAGCCTTCACCCTTTAAGATGATGAACCAACTATCGTTTCTAGTAGCAGCTTCGGCTTTTATTTTCATTCATAAGTTCAATTATCTTCAATCACCCCTAAAGCTTTCTTGCTTCTGTACATTTCTCCTCTTAATAACCCTAGCCATTTATCACCATTTGAAGAGAAAACCAAGACCAGTATACTTAGTAGACTTTGCATGCTACAAACCAAACGATTCTTGTGCTGTCACCAAGGAAAGGGTGCTGGAAAGAGCGAAGACCATTTTGGAATCAGAACAGAGCTTGAAGCTTGTGAAGAAGATTTTAGATAAGTCTGGTATAGGACCTAAGACGTACGGGTGTCAGGCTCTATTGGAAACCCCACCAAATGAGTCTCTAGTTGAAGCAAGGAAGGAGACAGAAGCTATATTTTTCGGCGCCATTGATAAACTTCTGGAGAAAACGTGGGTTCAACCAAAGGATATGGGAATTCTTGTTGTGAACTGTTCAGTATTTTGCCCCACGCCATCCCTCTGTGACATCGTTGTGAATCGGTATAAGTTCAGAAATAATATATTGTGCTATAATCTTAGTGGCATGGGATGTAGTGCTGGGGTTCTTGCTATTGACTTTGCCAAACACCTCCTCCAGGTATATATTCTCTTAATTTTAAATTTAATATTGTTGCTGTCTCAATTTTAATGACATAAACTTATCATATTAATATATACTCATATGAGCCTCATTATTATCATAACATAGTCACATCCTAACTCATACGCCATGGTGCTGAGCACTGAAATTTCCGCGGGCTTGTATAAGGGAAGGAACCCCTCCATGATCCTACCATTTTGTCTCTTTCGCATGGGTGGTTCTGCTTTGATTTTGTCCAACCATCCTTCAGATCGCCTTCGTTCAAAGTACCAAATCATGAATACACTTCGTACCCACATGGCTTCTGATGACAGAAGCTACAACTGTGTCCACCAACAAGACGATGAGCAACAACATATTGGTGTTGCGATTTCGAAAGACCTCATGCATGTTGCAGGTCAAGGGCTCAAGTCTCACATCACATTTCTCGCCCCACTGGTCCTTCCTCTCTCAGAAAAATTCAAGTTTCTTGTAAATTTTGTGGGAAGGAAGGTTTTTAGAATGAAGATTGAAGCTTATGTTCCAAACTTCAAGTCTGCTTTTGAGCACTTTTGTATTCATGCTGGAGGAAGGGCAGTGCTAGATACAATGCAGAAGAGTCTTGTGCTTCAAGATTGGGACATGGAGCCTTCGAGGATGACGCTGTATAGATTTGGGAATTTATCTTCGAGTTCAGTGTGGTATGAATTGGCTTATTGTGAAGCCAAAGGAAGAATTAAGAAAGGTGACAAGATCTGGCAACTAGCATTTGGGTCAGGATTCAAGTGTAATAGTGCAGTGTGGGTTGCATTAGACAATGTTGATGCAACTTTATTGAAGAATCCATGGATGGATGAGATTCATGAATTCCCTGTTAGTGTTTCTTCTCAAAACTAGCTCTTAGATTTGAGCCATAGCTAAAATAAAGAATAAGTGAATTTTAATTTGATCTTTCCTGTATGGGTCATTTGTTAGTCTGATCCCTTGTTTAAATGTTCAATCATAGTTAATGGTGTTTGTTTAAAACCCTTATATTCTCAAGTTGATTCTTCTTAGCATAGCACGGAAGATGTATAAATATTATAAAGGTAAAATTAATTAGTTTTGATTCGGTAGTACTAGACTACTAGGCAAATTTTCGCCACGTAGGATGACTTATACTATAATTAATAGTATATTTTCTAGCATACATTCTCTCTCTCTATTCACTTTTACTACAATTAATAGAGATAAAATTGAAAATAAAACATTAAATAGGATACAAGTGACAAATAAAAAAGGTCAAAATTCAACCCTACAAATGACAAATAATGAGGAATAAAGTGGTGTATAAAAAGATAGTAGTATAAAAAGTTTGAAAAAATAAGGAATCAAGTTATAGACGAGTCAAAAGTTTAGAGATCAAATTATAAGTGAGTTATGAGTTAAAAATCTAGAAAATTAATTTTTTTTCTTTTTTTTTTTGACCTTTTAAAGCTCTCTACGCATTTTGGTTATTTTAGATCTTTTTATGTTATGAACACCCGTAATTTGGCCACATATATCATAGGTTTGTACGTTATGATTAAAAACGTAATATATGGTCAATCATTGAAATACACATGTATGATTTTGAAAAATAACTACAATCTCCGAATATTTTTTAATTTCGAAAACATTTAAATATATTTTTATTTTCCATGCTGCCAATGCAATAATGCTGAAACTTTTGGGGGGGGGGGGGAAGCTTTGCTTCAGTGCAGTTATATATCGCATCATTACATAGATATGGCAACAAATTTGTACTAATGTTTTTTCGAATTCCCAAGTATGTTATACGCACTATCAGTTTTATGTTTTTTTGTTTGTTAACAAAATGGACCAAAATCCTTTATTAGTATTACGCGTCTCGTTAGTGCGGAAACAGCATTTGTAAATCATAAAATAATGAAATTAATTTTAAAGTTTGTGTAATACTTGAAAAAATATGTCTCCTCATGACCACAATTTAGTGGGGGAAAAAAGCAGCAGCCAATTATTGCTGAAATCAAACACTACTATTAGTTTATTGTTGATTGCATTTGAATCAATCTAATAATAATGGGGTTAAGATGCGAAAATATCTATCAGTTTTTTTCAAAAAATGCGTCTAACATGGTATACTTTTTTAGGTGCAAATCTAACTACGAACGGTCAAAAATGGGTGTAAAAATGACAAAACCGTTAAAATGAGATAACTGCGGTTACTTTTGGTGGTGGGGCTCACACTATTTTTATAAAAGTACCAAAATACTAAAAAAAAAGAAAAAAAAAGGGCACATTCTCCTCTCCTCCCACAATCTTTCGATTCATCTCCGTTGCTCTGCATGCCCAGAATAAAAAATGAAATAAATCTATCTCAAGATCATCAGGATTATACGTACTAGTTTGGGAATTGGGAGGCTATCCAAAGCGTGTTGTTCTTGAGTTCCTGACAAGTAGCATGCCGGAAATGGCTGAAGCCACAATCAAGACAAGAAATGATTCAAGATTGATTTGAATGTTCTTGGGTCCAGATTAGCCGGTCATTAGTGAGCAGCCCATCACTGAGCATGACATCTCCATCATCTATATTTCCCTTTCCCTTTCCTCCGTGTTAAGTCCCTCGTCAATTTCCCAGGTTCCATCGCCGCATCGAGCATGACCTCGTCCACATTTCCCTCAACATGACATCGCAGCACCTAAGCAAAGCCTTCTATTTCTCCACTGCCATCACCGTCGTCTAGATGGATCAGCACGAATGGTCGGCATATGAGGACTGCCACGAGCTCCTTGAGGATTCCATCAATGGGCTCCTGCGCTCCCTCACCTCCGTCATCTCCTCGCCGTCTGGAGGCGGCAGCGGCGCCATCTGAGTTTCCTCATCAACTTCTCTTAGTTTAGTCACCAAAAATTAGAATCTGGCATCCTCAAGCTCAACTTCCTCGAAGGTCAGATGCTTTGGCTTTTTCCCTTGTGCTATGATGGCTTCACTTGGATCTAGTTTTGTGAGATTATTTATTGGCTGCTTGCTAGACTAATCTTCGACTGGTGCCAGTTTGGGTTGATATTGATTGCGAATTTTTTTCTTAAGATCGGTGTGGTTTTGATTGGGAGAAGGAATGGTTGTTTTGGGTATTCATTTCAGAGGATCGAAAGGTTGCGGGAGGAGAGGAGAATATGCTCCTTTTTTTTAATTTTAAATTTGGAGTATTTTTTATACTTTTATAAAAAAAAAAAAAATGGTGTGACCTCACCACCAAAAATAATGACAGTTATCTCATTTTATCGATGTTGTCATTTTTGTACCCATTTTAAACTTTTATTTACATTTGCATCTAAGCAAAGCATACGGTGTTAGGGACATTTTTGAAAAAAGTTAGTACGTATTTTTACACCTTTTCCTAATAATATCACCGATTTTTAGTTGATACTTTTTTTTTTTGCCATATTTTCTTTATCCTTGTAATGAAATTATTAATCTAAAATTTGAAAATTTCAGCAGAAATCTTATTCACAATAATTTTTTATTTGCAATTTACATCTTAAATGTTAGGAGTATCTTTAATTTCTTTGCATTGTGATGGGTCGTCTAGTCTCATCACTTCAACAACCATTAAATGCTAAGATCTATTGCTCCATGTGGTATTTTCTTGGTGAACCCATAAAATTAGACTATGAAAATATAACATGATTACGAATATTAAAATTTATATAAATTTTATATTGTATAGGGATCTATAAATATAAAGATTATATATAAATTTATAGGAACACTACTAGTATTTGTTAACAAGTTAGCATTACTCAAATAATTATATACTATATTTAGCAAAAATTTTACGTAAAATACAACATATGTCTAATCTCAAACCCCGCCACATCTAAGGGTAAAATACTATTATATTTTATTCTAATTATAAGACTTTATTTATAGTATACAAAGAAGGTCTTATAATTGCAAATGGAGGTAGTATTACATAGTATTCCTCCGATCTTTAATCTAGGACTCAATCCTTGAATTAGTTTTGATTCTAAATATAAAACCCATTTATTATATTTATCAATTTTCTCTAAATTATCTCTATAAATATTCCCGCAACCATAATCAAGTAGAAGAGGGGGAGGGGGCATTAAAAAGGATGATTATGGTGTTTAGGAAAAATGTGTCACTTTTCTTATAATTAACTAACCTACCTAACTTTCTTAATCTAATCAAATTAGTTAAATGAGTCTTATTTTAAGGACCGGAGGAGTAATTCACTACTGCACTTGCAATGCTTGCATAATGTTATAACTTTTGCAAATAAATACTCACTCCTTTTCTTATTATAAGTTTTAAATGAATAATGAACTAGTTAAAATTAGTTAAAAATAATAATGTTAAAAATATATTTTAAAAAATACATTAAATGTTAAAAAAAATCCAAATTGAAACTTATAAAATGAGCCATACTTCTTCTTAAATTTGAAACTTATAAATAGAACAGAAAGGAGAATTACTTTTTTTAAGTTTCCTACTATTTTAAAAATACTTTCGAAGAACTACAATCAAAGATCCTAAATATAAAATTCTGTTATCTAATTTATAGAAACTAAAAAGTTGGTTAAGTTCATCAGTTGTAGTAGTGATTTTATAAAAAGTGTGTGCCAGGTTCATAAAATACTTTAAATAAGAATATTGAATGCGAAAGATCAATTGAGAGAAAATAGGAAATCAATGAGATAACGTGGAAAAAAATATTAAATGAGGAAAATAAAGTGGATTAAATTTCTATATTTAGGATCAAACACATCCATCAATTACGTCCTGTATTTATTGGCAATAAAAACTATATCGGTATATCCTATATTTAAGATGGGAGATAATAAGCATGTCTCTTCATGTTTTTTTTTTTTTGGGTGCCAGCGGCATGTCTCTTCATATGTACTCTGTGTATATCGTCAATATATTACCTCTAATACTTAATATAATAGCTAGTTTGACTTTTAATTTGATCATAAATATAAGACTCAAATTCACTTTATCTTTCATATTTATCTATTTTTTTTCAAAGTAGTCATTGTAATTATTGAACATGTTAAACATTCCATCAAATGATAGTTCTAACTTACAATATTATTAACAAGGGTATTGTAAGAAAGACAACAAATACTCCTCCGGTCCTTAATATAGGACCCATTTAACTAATTTGATTAGATTAAGAAGGTTAGATAAATTAGTTAATTATAAGAGATATAACACGTTTTTCCTAAAATACCATAATTATCTTTCTTAATACCTCTTTTCCTTTTCTACTTGATTATGGTTAAGGGAGTATCCATAGGGGTAATTTAAAGAAAATTGATAAATATGAGAAATGTGTCTTTTATTTAGGACCAAAAGCAACTTAACAATTGGATCCTATATTAAGGATCGGAGAAGTATTTATTATAAATAACTAACTTAACAAATTTTTTTATACTAAGAAAGGAAGGTAATACATAGTTACGTGCACACACTATTATATATAAACACATGACCTATGAATTATATAAAGAACGGGACGGTTCACTATATGTATTTTATATGTATGTCCATAAATTTCTTTGAAAAAAACTTTTCAAACCTTTCCCCATTTAAAATCCTTTATCTCTTCTTGGTGTTTAAAACTATTAAATTCAGGTGTTTTCAATTTTCAAAGACATCTATTTCTTTGATCGAAAAAAAAAAGCCCGTAAATATAAATTTTATATTTTTTTTAAAACTAATTCTTCTTGTTCTTTTTTAAACTATACCCTCCAGCTAAAATCACCATATATAATAGAGTAGTCGAAGATGACATTCTTGATATTGGACGCAGATTGACAAAAAAAAAATAAAAACGAAAGATTATGAATTTAACAAACTTTGTTGATAT